AAAAAATCTATCTGAGTAGGCACAAAAATTGTCATCTACCCATGAATAATCGCAATAACCCCCAACAAAAGAAAATAGAAGATAGCAGCACAGGTGAAAGCCAATCAATACTGAAAATCATACGAACTATAAGACGGAATTCAAACCATGGCAAACGAACTAGAAAGCTGAATACTTTATCATTTTGAACCATAAGAGAGCTAAACACCATCACTGTGTCAAGTTAAATCTAAAAGTTGAAAACTTAGGTCTTTGAAAGGGAAAACTGAAATCACCTTCTAACAGTGTGATCAACAGAGGCACTAAACCCCGATGAGTCATCGTGGAAGCAGCAATCGAGCACGCCTCCTCCGTGCATAAACTCTCCCCTCAGCACATTGGCGCTCGCGTCGTACAGTCGAACACTCTAACAATAAAATCATAACGAACAACATTTTTTTAAAGAAAGTAAAACATGAATCGCAGATCCAAAATTGGAAGAAACCAAACACGCCAATGAAAGCACGAGCCGAACCTTGTCCCAGGAAGAAACGAGGAGATGGTCACTGTTGTTCGAGAAGCGGAGGTTTGAAATGCCGTCGGTCGGAGGGTTCGACAGCTCGCGGCCAGTCGATTGTGGTGGCGCCGCTGTCATCGTCGCCGTCAGTCAGCGTCGCGTGAGAAGGTGACTAGGGTTTTAGCAGAAATTTGGGAGCTAATTCCGAAAAGAGGGACTGAGATCTTTGGGTTTGAAAAGGGGAAAAATGAGAGAGCGGAAGACCGAATGAGATATCTCCCGAAATTCAAATTCAAAAGGCACTAAACACCGGTGGATTCTTTCTTTATTTATTTACTAGTGCGTGGCCCGTGCGATGCACGGGAAAACAATATTTTGATTGTATTATAAATTGAATAAATAAATAACATTAATCATGATTTATCCATTAATTTTTAAATTAAACCGGGTTGGACACAATCTGACCGGATGGACCGAGAACCGGTTTATAACCAGTTTAGTGCGCTTGAATAAAATATTTGCTATCGAATCTTCAACACCAGTCTGTTGGATTGGTAGGATCGATACGATTTTCTAAACAAATTTTATTACATTAAAAATAATTTTAAATAAAATTACATATTTAAATAAAATAGAGATTTATAAATTGTTTATCAATTAATTTAAACATTTGAATTTATAAATTGTTTAGACATTTAAGTAACACTTTTTATTTAAATTAATTACAAAAAGTACTAAGTATTATGTATTAAAATTTGAACAACCACAAATGATTTAATAAAATAACTTGATCGTTTCGATGACGGTCCGGTTCTGAAAACCTTATATTTACCGTACATTAATAAAAAAATATAATAAAATAATTATTTTGTTCACATAAATAATAATAAAATGATATATAAATATTCATAAATCATTAATCATATTGTCATAAAAGTATTGTTAATATGATTATTTAAAGTTTGGACTACATCACATTCACGTAATAAAGTATTTTCAATATTAAAATTTATATTTATGTTCAATAATCGATTTGGTCTGGTCAAACTGATACATAACTTAGTTACCTGGGACCAACTAAGTTGTTTCAAAGTTTTTTGACTATTTTAAATATCACCTAAAAGTAATTCAATCAACGTTGGCAGTACCCTAATTCAATCACCCGATTGATCCAAAGTAATTTCTTTATTTTCTTTAGATATAATATTTAATTTTATGAAATAAAATAATTTTATCTTTCATATGTCTACACCAAATAATAGTATATTAAGATTGTAAATTATATATCTAAAGATGAATTATTTATTTTTATTTTATGAATATTAATAAAAATTAAACATAATAATTTTTAAAAAAAAATCAAGATTAATTGATTGGGTATGCAATTTAAAGAATATTTTTAGCGTTCAATATATATATATATATATATATTAACATGATTGAATTTTTGGATTAGAATATATATATTTAAAATAATTTTATTATTAAAAGTAAAAAAAAAAGATGCCATAAAGATTACAACTCATGATCCACTGAATAAATTTAGTGTGAAAACCCATCCTCTCCATCACTTTCCTAATACTCTCCCACTCTACTCTGTCATATGCTTTCTCCATATCCAACTTTATTGCCATAAAAACATTAGGCCCTGTTTTATGCCTATGCAAATAGTGAAACAGCTCATGGGCAATCACAACATTGTCAAGAAGTAACCTGCCTGGGACAAATGCAATTTGAGCATGACTGATGCAATCCTCCAAGCAAGGTTTTAATCTATCAGCTAACAATTTTGCAATGATCTTGTATAACACACCACACACGCTGATTGGTCTATACTTACTTAATGAGTCTGGGTGCATACATTTTGGTATCAGAGTGATAATAGTATGTTTCAGATTTTTCAGCAAGTGACCAGAAGAAAAAAAACACCATACAGCTCTACACACATCATCTTTCACAATATGCCAGAATTTTTGAAAAAAGCTAGCTGTCATACCGTCCTCACCTGGGGCTTTCTCAGAAGCCATATTGAACACCACAGCTTTGATTTCCGCTTCTGAAAAAGATTTGATTAATTCTGAGTTGGCAGCATCAGATATGGAAGCTGGTATATGCTGGAGCAGTTCTGACCCTTCTGAAGTGAATAGATCAGCATAGAAAGTGGAAATGTGGTTCTGAACAGCTTCTTGAGTGTCAAAATCCTCCCCAGCATTGTTAACCAGTTTAGTGATAGAATTGGTATGTCTCCTTTGTGTAACAAAAGCATGAAAGTATTTTGAGTTGCAGCCACCCCCTTTAAGCCACATAGCCCAAGATTTGCTCCTCCAGTAACTTTCTTTCTCAATATGAGCTTTATCCAAGTCCCTTTTCAGATCTCCCCATTCCTGCCAGTTAATATCCTTCCCCTCACTTCTCATCTCAGCCAACTTTTCTGTCAGGACTTTTATCACCCTCTCACTATTTCTGTGGCTCGGTTTATGCCAAGCCAATAGAGCCATTCTAGTGTGTTTAATTTTCTGATGAACTTGGAACATAGCAGACCCCTCCACTCTAACCAGCCACCCTTCCTTCACAGCTTCTTGAACACCCTCCATCTCCATCCAACTGCTATTAAATTGGAATCTCTTATGTCTCCTGCATACCTATTTCTCGGTGTCAAAAAGCAGTACATTGTGATCAAAGGCCGTTCTGAAATAATTAGAAGCCTTCATTCTGGTAAATTTAGATAGCCATTCAGCTGACACAAAGATTTTGTCAAGCCTCTCTTCTACATACCCATCCCCAACTCTGTTGTTTCCCCAGGTAAAAAAGGACCCTACCTGAGGAATTTCCTGCATCTCCATATTACTTATGAAATCCTGGAAACTCACAAAACTTTTGGGACTTCTGGCCACTCCTCCTCTTTTCTCCTCATTACAAACAATATCATTCCAGTCCCCAGCTAGAACCCACCCTTCCCCCCAACTTCCTCTCCTCCCTTCAAGAAACTTCCATTGTCTAACTCTCTCCCTTCTATCAGTACTCATATACACAAATACCATCCGACACAAATCATCAATCCCAGCTCCTTTCACCTCCATTTGGATACAGAACTCATTACTGACAATTTGATTCACCTCAGCCAGAGAGTCCCATAGCAGAAGCAGCCCTCCTCTGGTTCCAATAGGATCAACAAAATGCCATCTAGACTGATAGCCAAGCTTCCTACATACTGTGGTAGTAAAAACTCCGTTTTTTTTTTTTTTTTTTTTTTTTTATAAGAATATAATATTAGGGTGGTGGATCCTTCTGGAATCCTTGATCTGGGAAATTGTAGAGGGACCCACCCAGCCCTCTACAATTCCACACCATGACCTTCATTGATCACTCTGGGGCCATTTATGGCTGGCCTTCTCCACCAAATTTAACTCAATGCTTCATTTCTGCCTTTTCTCACTAAGCTCCCCTTCCAAGCCTTTCCTTTGTCACTCATGAATTACAAGAGCCCTACTCCTCTTCATGTTCCCAGCTGATTTGAACATTTCAGCCTCCTCAATAGAACTCTTCATTCTATTTTGACCAGGGATTCTCCTCTTCCACATGGCAGCTGGTCTCTGTCTGAGATTATATGAGCATTCATGTCCCTTCCCCTTTTCTTGATTCACCTCCACCATATGGATTATTCCCTCAATCTCCATCTGACCACCCTTTCCAATTTCAGCAACCACTCCCCCATAATCTTGGATTTTCTCTCTATCAGGTTCCACCCTAATAATTCCTCCTCTTCATTGGCTGGAATAATTTGTCCTGCCTGCTGATTACCATCCACCAGATCATTACTAACCCTATTACCAGAGGGGACCCCCTTATGAGAAAGATTATCAGAGCCCCTCGAATCAAACATGGCATTAGATTTGGGAGTACTGCCTTTATCCCCAGATGTTTGACTGAAAGAAGATCTACCCCCAGGATAAGTTTCATTCGCCTTCATCCAGTCACCATATTGCCCCTTCACCACACATCTCCCTACTACATCTTCTTCCCTTCTTTTACAGTTTCTCTCTAGGTGCCCAATTAACCCACAATAATAACATAAATTAACAAGCTTTTCATACCTGAAGACTACCATAACTTTTTGGTCTCCCAGCTTGACAGTAGTACATCTGGGTATGGGTCTCTTGAGATTGATAGCCACCAGTATTTTGATAAATCTTCCCACATCTCCACCCACTTTACACACAATGGCATTCTTAACTCTGTTGAAAATCTGGCCAATTTTTATGCCACATCCGTGCTCATCCAGTTTAAAGGCACATTTAGCACTTGCACCCATAGCGTGATCTCCTCGAAGCAGCTGTGAGTACTGTGAAGCCCTGGGAACCATTCTGTCAATATCAAGTACTGATTCTCATACATCCAATTGTTGCCAGACCCTACTTTCTTCATGTCTTCCCGAGATAAGAATATAAACTGGAAGAAATTTTCACTTATTTCCTTCACCTTCATGGAATTCTGCATTCGCCATATTGATCCCATCGTTCTCTTAATACCCACCAGACCAGCGTGTCTATCTCCGACAATCTTACCAAAAAGACTCCTACTACATTCTTCTTCGCTAGCTTTAATATCATCATTTTTTTATCTCAACTTCACTCCCTCCTCCAGCTTCCCTCTCAAGCCTCTATCAGGCGATTTGTCCCCCATCAGATAAAAAGCACAAACGGCACCGACCCACAACCCTAAAACAAAAACCTTAAACCAAACCTCCCAAATGAAACCAGCAAAAAACCCAAATCCTCACTACCCCCTCTATCAAGAATACTACAATAAAACACACGCCTATCAATTTCTAGTCTCACCCGAGAGAATTTCATTTGAACTGAAATGTGTATTAATGAATTAAATTGTTATTATCTATTATTATATAAAGAGACAACCCAAAAAATCTTGAATTAGTAACTAAAAAATATTAGGATTCCCGTTTAAATATTTACTAAACATAGTAATCTTTTTTAAACATTTTGGAAATATCCCGCCTAAATGTATTTTTGAATTTTTTTTAAAAATTAATTCAAACATTTAAATGAAAAGATCACACACAGATAAATCTGGATACATTCACTTCTTATCTTAACTTCCATATAATCACATTTTTAAAACACACACACACATTTCCATCTTATCTTAATTTTAGAAATATCCCACCGGGTCTTTATATATTAATAGATTTATTTTTTTTCTTCAAATCAAATTTATTGCATGGTACTCGAGTTGTCTCGATCTGTTTGTTTAGGTCGAGGTTAATGAAGTAAGAGATAAGATAAAGTTTAATATAGTAACACTGTTCTTATGATTATGTTACTTTACACAATACATTATTTTTAAAATTAACAACTATTAAACACACACATCAATTTTAACCATCTATTATGCCGAACAATTTTGTCAAAGTAGTTTAATCTTTAGGGCGAGTAGTGTTGGAAACGAGCCTAATTAAATATTTTGAGCTGAGTATTATCTTTATCAAGTTAGATTATTTTTTTTTTTTTTTTATTTATTGTTGTTTGAGCTTGAAATCAACGAGTCAGAATGTATATAGGCGCTCACTTTGACTTGATAAAAAATGCAAAACTCGAGATCGACTCGGGTTTTATTCAATTTTAATACAAATGTCAGTTAGATATAGTTAAATAATTTTATTTACATTTTAGCGACTCGTCGAACGCTAAAACTCACAAACAACAAATTTAAACTTGATTTGACTTCGATCTGCTTTATCTCAACTCAAGCTCAATCGAACTCAATGTCAAATTGAGCACTTGCGAGGAGTTCGAATCATTTGCAATCTTAATTTAGACTCTTAAACTTTTGGATTTGGGATGACAATAGTGCCGAGATTTCGAGTTAAAAGTTCAAATTTGAATTTCTTATCTCAATTGATAAGATAACTCGAAGAAACATAATTAAATATGACCAAACTTCGATCATGTAGCACTTACGGTGGTAAATTATGTTGATTGTTCTCCTGTTTCATTTATATATTGTCGAAGTTCTACTTATTCTATTCTTTCCAGTATGATCTAATTTGAAAATAAAAGCTCATGTTTAAATTACAAAAATTAGAAAATTAAGATTATTTTGTAATTGTAATTTGTTTGGTAAAACAACAATTTCTAAACAGGGAGAAAAGGAGAGGGAAAAAGTGGTAACTCACTCGAATCTGATCTCTTAATTCGATCTACTTCATAATACTGTTTATTATGACCTTCACATAAATTCCTCCCTAACCCAGCTCTAAAACCCTCTGAAATGGATTGCCCAAGCAAATTAAACAACCCCTGATTTTGATTTGGAGCCTCGATCTCCAATTGGTCGTCCCGTTGCTGGGCTTGTGCCTAGCGATTGCAATGGTGGTCTGCAAATGCCGCAAGGTATGCCCGCCGATGTAAAATGTTTCGTGTTACTGATTGATTTTTTTCCATCGATTGATGCGATTCCAAATTTCGAGATCGGATCCGGTAGGAAATCGTTAATTCTGAGATTATTTCATTTCATTCCAATTTAGCTCCTTAATTCACCTGGATGTGTCTGCCGCTAGTTGATACGTGATGGAAAGAATGAATTAGAATCGGGTTTTTTTCTTTTTTTTATACTTTCCATTATTGGCGTGAGGCTGAATTGTACTTTTTACAAAATTCATAGACTGCTTGCATTTGGTGTGATTTGATGGGTGGTTGGATTTTTTTTTAATGAAATACGTTGACTGATGTGTTCTTGTATTTTTCTGAATTTAGGCGACCAAGTTGTATTGCTTCGTCCACAAGGTACCAGTTTGCGGAGAATGTGTATGCTTCCCGGAGCACCAAATTTGTGTGGTATTGTTATTTGTTAAATGCGTCTGTTGATTGAACATGTTTTGATCTGTAAATTTTGAAGAAAAGGAGATAAGTGATGAATTCATTTAGGTGCGTACTTACTCCGAGTGGGTTATTGATGGGGAGTACGATTGGCCTCCTAAATGCTGCAATTGCCAAGCTGTGCTGGAAGAGGGGTCGAACCCTCAAACGACGAGATTGGGCTGTTTGCGTATGTTTTCTGTTGCAAATTGTTCGACTTTTAATTTGGAAATATTGAATTTTTCCTTTTTGCTTCCAAGACATGATTTTTCTTTGCAGATGTTATACATACTAGTTGCTTGGTGTCACACATTAAGAGTTTTCCTCCACACACTGCGCCTGCTGGGTACGTCTGTCCAGGCTGTTCAACCTCGGTATGTTATGCTATTCCCGAGTCTGCCATTTCATGTTGTTCCATCATTTTTTTGTCCAATGATCAGTTTATAACTTAACCTACAGCATTGCGTACTCTTTGAATTCATTTAGCATAAGAGTCACGTTATTAGTCTAATACGTGATAATTTCTCATACTGTTGCTGTTGCTGATGTGAACTTGTTTACTAGAATCCTGCTACTCTTTACAAAAAATTTCTAGAAGATACTAGTTGCTTTTATTTTTGCTGAAAGAGTAATTTTAGGTTTCCTAACCAAATATAACTGTTATGTACGTGGAAAGTTTGATTAGTTTTGTTTATGCAATTATTCATTATCATATTCGTTGAATTATTCGAATCTAGATAAATATATTTATGTGAATTTGTTTTAGTTTTTTTTCATTTGAACCTAAAATTGAACAAAATCTCGTAGCTAATCGAAAAAATTCTATTTGTTTGCAACTATTGGTGAAATTTGTCATGGTGTCTTATATATATTACGGCTATGTTTGGTAAAACTAGCTGACAGCTGATAAGCTAGCTTATAGCTTATCAATAATTTTCGAGCTTATAGCTTGTAGCTTATGACTTATAGCTGAAAAGCTAGCTTATATGATAAAAAATGTTTGGTAAAATTAGCTGATAAGCTAGCTGAAATAAAAATTTCAACGAGCTTACTTGAAAAGCTACCTAAAGAAGCTTATGAGATAAGCTCGAGCTTTTTAAAAAAGCTCGTCCTACCAAACAAAGCTTATTTAAACACAGAAAGCTTATAAGCTAGCTTATTTGTCTACCAAACATAGCCTAATTCGTCAGCCCTTCTCGGCAGTAAATTCATGATTGCTTTCACTGCAATCCCCATTTTTGTTGAACAATAGTTGGAAACTCCCCTTTCTGGGGATAATAGTTGGGGTGTTGATATAAAAGTGTGTAATATGCTTATACATAAATTGTTGACTTATAACTTATTGGCTATCTAATATACTCTTACAATCATAGTATATCTGATAAATGCCTTAGCTTTTGCTCCTGTTTAAGGGCATATGGCTATGTAAGCTCCTATATCTTATGAGATGTTTCTGGGAATGAGATGTTGGATCTTATATTGAAAATAACTTGAATATGATAGAGCTTATAAGAAGTTAGTAGCCATATTTTTATACGTAACGTTATCAACTCAAAGGACATATTCAAGTAAAATCTTCCGTTCAAAAACTTGTAACCTGTTTCTTTTTCTAAGTACATTTGCAGCCCATAAAAAATTCCTTCTTATTTTGAGAGCTTATAAGAGATCCTCGAAATAAGTATCACCGAAACATCTTTTGGAAAATTGTATGATCTCCAAAACTCTTCAAGACACTTTTGAAGAGTTACAAGCTCAGCTAACATTATCTTATTACATATTCATCAAGCTTGAAGTTGGTTACACTGTAAAACATAAGCTAACAAGTCATCATTCAGTTAAACTGGACCTAAATATTTTTGCGCTAAATTATTATTCGTATTTGAGATTAAGTCTTTGCTGAATGTGTCTTAAGTTGTTCTATTGTTTTATGTCATAACTCAAGGATAATGCTCGACTTGTTGCAGATATGGCCTCCAAAAAGTGTGAAAGATTCGGGATCACGTCTTCATTCATATCTAAAAGAAGCAATACTGCAGGTCATTTTTTTTTTCTTAGTTGTTTTTCCAATAAATTATGTGGTCAAACGTTTCTATTAGTCAAAATCATATGCTTTTGCCTTCACCATGAATGACAATTTGCTGGATCTCCCGAACAGATATTGTCTCATTAATTTATTTATTTTTTGGTTAATCTTGTATTGAGAGATTTAAATATTTGTCTTGCAGACGGGTTTGGAGAAGAACTTGTTTGGCAACCATCCAGTTTCGCTTGGAACAGAGACCAGAAGCCCTCCTCCAGCATTTGCCTCAGAACCACTGATGCATCCATCTGCTGGAAAAGATGCCGTGCCTACTGCAACGGGCTTTACAAGGCCCGCCAGTTTGGATATAGTGGAAACTGATGGGCCGAGCTCAGCAACATCATCATTGCCCAACCATGAGCCTAATTTTAGTAAAAGCTCTAGTCCACCTGGGGTAAAGCAGTCTTCATTTTTTTTTAGTCTACATGATACTGAGTTGAGTGTAGCTTCCATGTAATGTTGATTATATTTGTGTATTTGTTCAGCCTGGTGCTACAACTCGGAAAACTGCACTGCAAGTCGAAAGGCAGAACTCTGAGGTCTCATATTATGCAGATGATGAAGATGCAAACAAGAAGAAATATTTGCGAAGAGGTGAGTTTTTACTTCATATATGGACTAATGTAACTGCCATTTTCTGTTTTGGTTCAATACAAACATTTGTGCATCGATATATATTCATACTGCATAGTTATGTGTGCATGTGTTTATGACCGAAATGGTTTGATCAGTCAATCAAAATTTTGCAGGTACAATTCGTCATAAGTTCCTGAGGTCATTGCTGCCTTTCTGGTCAAGTGCATTGCCAACTCTACCAGTGACTGCCCCTCCAAGAAAAGATGCATCCCACACAGATGACTCCTCAGAGGGTCGTACAAGACACCATAAGTCTTCTAGAATGGATCCCAGAAAACTTCTCTTAGTTATAGCTATCATGTAAGATTTCCTAAGAGATTCTAAATTACAAAAATCAAAATGTAATTCAAAATGGAAAAGATCTTAACTAGATTTTCGTATTATTTTAGGAAAATGTTTTGTTTTAGCAATAATGAGTTTTTGGGTGCAGGGCTTGCATGGCCACGATGGGTATATTGTATTACAGAATTGCACAAAGGGATTTAGGTGAAGATTTGGCCTATGATGAGGTCCAGTGATCAACGGTTTTCTTTCACCAAATTCATTTCGGTACACTCGATCGACTGCCACTATGTAACGTTCTTTCGGCCACTCGTTCTTTGTGCTCTGCGTGTTTTCATGTCAAAAGATCGTTTTTTGTGGCTCAACTCTGACTGTATTTGTTTCTGCATAACCGAGTTTGACAAGCCGTTTGGATGTAGAAGGTACTCACTCACCAGAGATTGCAACTTGTGATCTCTTTTAATGTTTAGAAATACACTTTCTTTACCCGAATTGACTGTATTTGTCAGTTTCGTTGTTTATTTTGGTCTCAACTTCAAAAGAATAGATTTTCATGCCCAAGTCTGGTCATGGTTTAACTGTTTAACTGCTATCTTAATTTTCTTTTTTCTGCTTTTGTACCCTATAGTCTGAATAAATGATCATATTTTCGATGGTAAATTCAAGCTCATGCGCATTTGGTTTTTTATTTAATTAACGTGAAAAAAAAAGATGTATATATTTTGTTTTATTGAGATTTTAGAAAGTAGATTTAAATTATATACTCCATTGGTTAGCAGTTGGTAGTTCGATAGCCATTTTTGTCAGCCCGGAAGTTTGCAATGCTGGGCTCTGGTCAGGTTTGGATTAGAGCTGGTACAGGCTAAAAGCCCAATATTGACCCACAATCAACAAAGGTGATCAGGGTTTAAGCCATTACCTTCGAAAAGTAGATGATTTCCAAATGTGTGATTGGATAAATATTTGATTTGCTTTTGATTGATTTTTTTTGTTAATCATATTTAGTTTTAGAAAATGTGGTATGGTTAATTGAAGTAGGATTGAATTTATATTAAAATAATATTTTAAATGAAATAGTTAAAGTTAATTTGATGTAAAAGTAATATAGAAATTATATGACTTGATAGTTAGTTAAAATTACTTGAGTAGATTAATAGTGAAACAAAGTTGACATGATGTGTAAGGATGATTTATTAATAATATTTAATCATATAAATAGTATTGAAGACAGTAAGGTTGAGTTAAACTTGAGTTAAATTTGTGTTTTGATTTCTTTTATTGACCTAGTATTTGAAGGGAAGAAAATAAAAAGTTTATATTTGCACTTAATAACCAAACGCTTCCATTTTATTTTATTTTTTTAGAAATCAATTCTATGAAATTTGAAGAAAGTCACGCTCTAATAGAAAAAAAAAAATAGATGAATTTCATCTTTATCTCTATATCATGTGAGAAATAAAATTGAAATTAAATTAGAATCTCGAAAAAAATTGCTCGAACAAGATAGAAATAGCACGGACACCAACAAACATCACTCAAAAAATATAGAAGTAAAAGTATGTTATTTTGGTTAAAACAAAATTGGAATTAATTTATTATCCAAAAAAAAATATATTCAATTGTATGGTATACGAACGTGTTAGATGTGTTGTCGGAAAA